ACACACAGCCCTCATCTTCTTATTTACAGCTACTATTAACTCACTCGCTATTCATTTAGTTTTCTTTGGAGAATCACTCAGAAACCGCACAAAAAACAAGCAAAATTCAAACCTGACAGCGAAAAAACCTAAGCCATAATGTTTTTATATTCGTTTTGCACCCATTCTGATAGTTAGATACTCATTAAACGCATGTACAGACTATGTAGCATGAGTAATATTGTGGTAAAACGGTCCAGTTTCAGGTTAGTTTCTTCATTCTGGAGCTTTTGGAGCAGTATCTGTACTTTATTGGAGTATATATTTTTTCCCCTACTTTTACTTTTACTCCACTACATATTTTTGATTAATTTAATACTTTTACTCCGATCGATTTTTCACGGGCTGAATCGTTACTCGTTACTGAAATGTAAACGTAATGATAAATAGCTCTGTCAGGGTTTCTGAAGCTGGCTACTTCCGTACTTCCACTTAAGTATGTTGTTGAAAGAATACTTCTACTTTTACTCAAGTAATTTTTTTTATATAGTACTTGTACTTCTACTCCACTCCTCTACTCCAGTACTTTATACGTCTCTGGATGTAGGTCACAACAGGTGCAGCTTGGCTCCGAGTTAAGGTGATTAACAGCGTACAAATGCAAAAGGGGGCAACTTCCGGGAGCATCCAGGGCCTAAAGGACACCCTGCATCCCGCTTTCGTTAACTCATTGACTGGCAGCCATTTTCAGAACAGAGAGTCCCATACTGCCAGTTTTTTTCGAGCATTTTGACTGATTTTTCAAGAGCCACAGAATAGTTTGAGCTATGACTATGTAAACACCGAACACACCAAAAGAAAGAGTAGACTCTCCTCTTTCATCAGGAAAAATAATTTGTTTCTACCTTATTCCGTTCTTCCTCGACATGCGTCTCACCGGCGACATGTTCTCTCATAGAACCGTTACCTTTTTCTTATTTGCCTACAGTCTATGCTCATCTCCCATCAAAAGTGGCACTGCCCCCTAGAGGGTCAATTTGTTACTACATACTCTGTCTAGAAGCCGATATTTACGGAAAAGCTTTAGCAGATCGTCCCCCAGCCACTCTCGTTGAAAAACATGAAAGACGTCTATAGACATCTTTGGCAGCCAATGAGTTAACCATCAGCCACTCAGATGTGACCTCATCTAGATTTAGACTTAGACTTCCTTTATTGTCATTGTACAAAAAACACCAGGTGAATCTTGACAACGAAATGTGGATTTCTTGGCTACCAGTGTGACAAAGCTAAGACCTTATTCCTGCACAATAAATATGTTTTCTGTAACTGAGAGCTAGATATGTACAGGGTAAGAAGCATATATATATATATATACATATTATTGCATAATTGAGTTATTACAAAAGAAACAGCAATGAATATTGCACTGGGTTAATTGCAAAAAGAAAGAAGAAACATTGGGGTAAGAAGCATATATAGCCTACATATTATTGCATTATTGAGTTATTACAAAAGAATGAATATTGCACTGAGCTATATACAAGGGCCGGTGGGTGGGGGGGTAATGGGGGGGTAATGGGGGGGTACTTACTCTGCGTATCCGGTGGCCCAGGGTAATCTCCTGGTCTCCTTGAGGATGAGGATGGGCCGGGCTCCGTGGTCCGCGGAGCACTCCACCTCGTCCGGGGAGAGCCCCAGGAAATAGGGCCGCGCGTAGGGGAACCTCAGCGGGGTGTCGGAGCCCGGAGGCCCGGTCCCGGTCCCGGTGGAGCCCCCCCCGGCCACCAGCCCGCCCACCAGCCCGGCCACGGCCGACTTAACCCGGGTCAGCACGCCGGTTCCGCGCCGCGGAGGCGGGGGGGGTGGGGGGGGCTCCGCAGGCCGGCCCCGGCTGCCTTTTCCCGGATTCCCCCCCAGCTCGAGGACCGGGAGGAGGACCGGGAGGACCGGGGAGGAGGACCGGGGAAACGCTCACTCAGCCCGGGCACGGAGGGGGGAGCACGGCACGGACCTCCATGGATCGGTCCCGGAGAGGAAATACGCGCAAGGGATTATCGGGACCACGTGACGCGCGCGTGCGCTGCAAAAAGCCTCCTCTCGTGCACGCGCGCTGCAAGAAGCCTCCTCTCTCGTGCACGCGCGCTGCAAAAAGCCTCCTCTCTCGTGCACGCGCGCAAGGCTCTCCAGCATCTCGCGCTCTTATCAGAATCAGAATCAGAACCAGAATAAGGTTTATTGCCAAGTAGGTTTTTTTAGACTTACAAGGAATTTTTTGCCTTGGTGTTTGGTGCACAACACAACACTTCTATGAGAAGCAAGAAATAAAATGTAGAAGTAAAAATATAGGACAGAAATGATAAAACTGAAAAATACAATCTTTAAAAATATAGGTCCGAATGTACAAATGAACAATCTTTAAAAATATAGATCCGAATGTACAAATGAACAATCTTTAAAAATATAGATCCGAATGTA